TGGGCACGCCCCCCCCCCCCAGCCAGATTGCACACTGCTGTGGCAGGGATGGCCCCCGGGCTGGGAGCATGAGCCCATCCTGTGCCGTGACGATGCACGTGCAGGCACGCAGCCCAACCTGACATCTGGCTGCCTACACGCCCCGGCCCCGCAGTCTTCTGGGAAGCCCTCCCAGCCACCCTCAGCCCCACTCTCCTGAGCCAGTTTCATTGTGTTGAGGCCCTAGAGCGCTGCCTCGCCAGCCGGGACCTTTGTGAGAACCTGCGTAGCCTGGCTAACGTAGGCCCAGCCAGTGTCTGGAAATTATCCCTGCAGACCTGCTTCCGGGGCATTTTCATGCTGTGCATCGGTGTAGGCTTTTAATGATGTCATACTGGACCAGTCTGGGTGATTTTCAGTATATAAAAATGAAGAGGAAAAAAACCTAATCACTCCAATATAAGACTCCTGTTTGCTTACTGTACGGTTATATCATATGTGACATTTACTCCTGTCTCAAATGCTCTCTTTGATTTTAATGTTTCGGTTTGTTTTGGCATCAGCTGTATCATTCCTGTGCTGTAACTTTTAAATTTCCTTGTTAGGTATTAGAATTGCACTTATTTTTTTAAAACGCGTTTCTGCATTGGAAGCATTCAACATGAAGCGGGACGAATGTCGAGAAAGTCTGTGGAGGGTTGAATCCTCCAGATTTTCCTGTTAGTTTGTATTTTTCCTCCTTCCCGGGTCCCCCTCTTCTGCCAAGTGCACAAGTCTTCAGAAGTTGGATTTACTAATAATATGGGATGGGGGATGGGAGGTCCCATCCATTTACCTCTTGTTCAGCAAGGCCTTGCTAGTTTGTCTCCAAGAGCAGGGGGCCTCACACGACAGAATTGCAAACATCTCTCTGTCAAGTGTATGAAGGAGGGTCGATTGGCTTGTTTTAATTTATGCCTTTGGTTCTTGGTTCCATTCTCTGCCTTTCTTCCTAGCTCCAGTCCCCTTTTCCATGCAAGCAACTCAAAATATTTTAAAAAAATAAAGTTTACACTATCGTGCTCTTCAAATCTTTGCTTGATAAGTATTACAAATAAGGAGCATCGAACTTGCTGCCATAATTTAAAGCTTCTGGGTGGGGTTGTTTTTGTTTGGTTTGGTTTTTTGGGTTGGTTTTTTTTTGTTTTTTTGGAGCAATATGTTTTTGCTGGAATCTGAAGTCTGAGACCTTCTTGTGCTGGAAACACATGAAAGTTGTTGAATAATGACAAGCAGACTGTGCGTGTCTCTGACGCTCTGTATAATTCATATGTGGACATTCAGTCTTTGGACAATAAACAATATTGTACAAAATGAAATGCTTTCCTCTCTGAATTTGCTGCACCTCTCTGGGGCTGTGGAAATAAGTACCACATACAACTGGGGATGCTAGACAGGCGCACCAATCTGCTTGTGCATGTGGGACTGGCTGTGAGCGGGTGAGTAATCCACCCAGCGTTGGGGGGGCTGTGCCATAGATATCCGCCCACTTCCCTCAGTGCAGAAGTTTTGCTGGCTAAGTTTGTTGTTGCTGAAGTTGTTCCGCTGCATCAGCCTTCTTCATGTACAATTTTGGGAACCCACAGCTCCGGGCGAGACCCCTGGAGAGATCGGCCCAGTGTTGCTCTCGCTATAATGGCCATGCTTGAGAACCCCCAGCAAATGTCAAAACCCTGCCCTGGCCACGCGCTCAGCTCTTGCTTGCTCCTAACATGGCGAGGGGCTGTCCTGCTGAGCTGCTCCTCAGGCAAGTAGTGCTGCAACATGATTACTGAGAGCAAGGATTTCGGCTTGGCACAATGCCAGTTTTATCATTTCAGTGGCTAATATCCGTGTTTCTCGGAGAGCTCCCCCCGCCCAGTTTTGACGGCAATATTCACAGTTGCAGGAGGAGCGGGTCAGACAACAATAGTCAAATAATGCTGGCAGAGTTTACAACACTTTAATCTGTGGACCCCTAAAGAACTTCAAATGGAGGTGTGGACCCTTTGGGAGATTTTTAGCTTCCTCTTCCCGGCCAAGGCCATGCAGCAGGAAAAAGAGGAGTTTGGGGGAGGAGGATGCAGTACCAGCCTAGCCTCGGGCAGTGGTGAATGGAGGTGGGGCCCCCTTTGGAAATCCAGACACTGGCCTAAACCTGCAGGAACAAACAGCCTGAAACAAGAGAAGATCCATGCGCTGCATCCTGCACATGGACTACTCTGAGAGAGAGAGAGAGAGAGACAGAGAGAGAGAGGGAGTCTTTTGGGGAAAGTGTAAGCCATTAGAGCTCTTCGAGGACAAGATGTGGACGAGCGTGATCCAATGGACACAGGTGTTGTACCAATAAAAGCAAGCAGGATCTTATGAGGGGGATAAGGCAAAAAGCCACATTTATTGTAAAGATAATAATAAAGAATAAAGAAAAGATAGAAGCAAACAACGTTGTTTAACTACTTATTCCTATCACCACTTAACCCTTATACACTTACACACACACACACACACACACACACACACACACACACACACACACACACACACACATTATACATATAAACATTCATTCATCCATTCATCCAGGTTCTGCGTATTTGTTACAGTTACCAGTCTGGAAGTTGCTTGTGACCGAATACTGGCCAGGTATTCTGTACACAAGTGATGGGAGTGGGGAGCGAAGTCCTGATCAGATGCGCATCTGAAGCTCCTGGTGGGCTGGCAGCAGAACCTTGGACTCTGACTCCATAGTCTTTTAGTCCAGTTCTTATAGGAATTTCTTCCTATGCCAGTCTATGGGAATTGCTGCATCATGCTGATGTCCAGGGTGGCTGCCAGGTGCTC